ACAGAAAGGTCACACATATATTTTATTTCATAAATTCGATGGTAGGTTTTTCATTAACTAAACTAGACGCTCTTGGAGCGTGAAGTCGGACTAGCTGCTTTTGAAAATTGAGAAAGACGGGATATTACATGGATAAAAATATTTCTTAATTTTTTTCCAAAATAGCCGAACTCACGGTCTAATAAGAGCGTCTAGTTCAAAATATGGAAAATTTATTGAGACTTTAAATAAACTTGACCTAAAAGGTCATGTAATTAATGCGATAAGAACGTTTTAAAAGAGTCCTTTCTTTGACTGATAAAATCAAACTTGCTAGRCAAAATGTGGCTAAGTGATATCATGACTGTCTAACACTAGAAAGGTCATTTATTTAGATTCCTAAGCATACAACTCGAAGCTCCATGCGATCTGCACATGCGGGTACTATTGATGCCTAGACAGATGCATTCCGATGATACCACATTTGTAAACGAATGCTTTTTTTATCACATAAMAGCGCAAGTAGCATTTTACATTTACTAACGATATTCGTACATCTATACATTTGAGCTTCCGGTTATGTTAATAACACAGCCAACCCAATAGCTAATTATTAAATTCTTAACTTCCGGTGGCCCAAACGCGACATGACACATAGATAGATAGATTGGCTAAAAGGTAAAACTYAAGTCGACCTAGCCTTCGGCTAGTCCGACTAATAAGTTATGCACGAAGCCAAGGTTTTTSAAGCCACCCGTGTTCAAAACGCGGATCGCCAGAGTATTTTGATGCTCAACTACAAGGCGAAAATACATACTTAGATTTTCAAATTTTCTCACGAAGAATACACAGAAAGGTCACATATATATATTATTTCTTAGATTCGATGGTAGGTTTTTAGGATTGTCTTTAATATCATTGCATTTCTTCAAAGTCTTGAAATCTGGTCTCTTTTCGTCGAATTAGTCAGGTTACGCTTGAGTGATCACGGACTTTTTGTCACCATTAAGTTTGATATGAACCACATGGTCATTACTGTCATCAGGCACCACCTCCTGGTCATCACTGTCACCCACCACCCCTTCCTGGTCATCACTGTCACCCACCACCCCTTCCTGGTCATCACTTCCATCAGGCACCACCTCCTGATCATCACTTTCACCAACCATTCCCTCCTGATTATGACGTTTACCAGCTACCCCCTCCTGGTAATCACTTTCATCAGTCACCACCTATTGGCCATAACTTTCACCCGCCACCCCTTCCTGGTCATCACCTTCATCAGCCACCCCTAGCTCCTTATCATCACTTTCAGTTTGAATTGTTTCTCTCATGTAATGGCTCTAGTCTCTTTCTGTCAATGCATAGAATATCCATAGAGCGATTTTGTATATGCTGTTAGTCATTGAATGTTACCCTATGGGCGAKGCAMRTTTCAGACTTGTGCGTATCTTGGTACGGTATATACGTTTTCATTCCAACTTCAGTGTGAACTAGACGCTCCTGGAGCGTGAAGTCGGACTAGCTATTTTTGAAAATTGATTAAGACAAGAGTTCGAAAGGTTTTAAGTTATRTTCTGTCTAATCATCGATGAGTATATTATGAATGTAAATTATGGCGTAGAATATATATTTTTTACTTCTAATACATAGTGAAGGCAAGAATGAGTTTCTTTCACTTTAATTAATGTACTGTTCAAAACCGTTTATTCACACGATACGATATTCTTTTTGACTGCTCTCTGCAACGAGTCAAAACGATAGAAATCTAAATTTGACCTCAGTAAAAGGTCATGTAATTAATACCCTGCGAACAACTTACAACTGAACTGATAAAGTCAAACTTGTTGCAAATCACTGCCAACAAAATGTATTGAATACGYCCTTTTTTCTTTTGGGCTGTCTGCTTTCATATTTCTYGTTTTCGAAACCACAAATCCGATTTTTTCGAAATTAGATTTAAATTATTAGCTTATGCTTTTTATCCAAAATCAGTGCTTCATTCTTCTTGGGATGCGAGTGACACAGCCATATTMACTGATGAATGAACATAGCAATACATGTACACWAAACAGAATGGTTGTCATTCGATTTCGCGTTATGGTGTCTAATTGTGTTTAGCTCTCTTTCCTTTGGTATAACCTGCCCATCTTGCACTAGTTGCTTTAAAGATTGGATCATTATCAATACCACTACTTGTAAGAAACATTAATAAGCTAACATGAAGAGTATGGTAGTCCCAACGGGCTAAATTAGGAGCGGCTCGCATAGATATGTGCCTAAGATCATAAAACGTCCCTGAACCTGCATCAAACATTAGAAGCATGTTCCTAAGAGACCTCATTCCGTCCCTGAATAGCACTGCTGCTTCTTCTCTTTGTTCAGCTGGTGCTGCTAAAGTCAAATCATATAAACCAAGCAATGAATATATGAAGCCGTTGAGTACATATAGGGAAGGTGTGGTCGGGTACTCTTCGTACCAGTGGTATTTGTCCATAAAAGTAGCTCGTACTCCATTGTCTTCAGACGATATTTTAAAAACCGATGTTGCCTTTAAAGCGGCATTGAGATATGAAATATTTTTGGTGTGATAGTAAGCTCGCGTGAGCAATGACATTCCTTGACCTTGTGCCATAGCCGAATACCAACCTGGCTTAATTTCAACTCCTTCTAGAATTTTCCTCTTTACAGTGATTGGCCAGCCACCATTGTCATTTTGGTTTCGAACAAACCAATCAGCGGCTGCCATAAAAAAGTCGAGTCGAGCAGTACGACTTAGAGTGACATTGTCAATCAAACCTTTGCCATAGACTACGATACTTTGAATTTCTGTGATAACTACCTTTATGTTTGATTTTTTGAATTTTGAATCCATAAGTTTGAGACCTTTTCTTAAATCTGTGTCTAGATTCCTTGTGATTCGACGCCAACCATCTTGGTTTCCCAAACCCATGAATATGGCATTGTTTTTCACTTCAATCAACTTGTTATCAGTGGAATAATTAATCACGTGTTGTTTGATGTTATTGGTTTCTAAGGTGACTGCCACACGTCCACTGTCAAGAATCTTCAAATCGAAAGACAACACGTATTCCTTGTTTGAACTGTCTATGTGAAGGGAGATGCCCTCGCCGTCAAGTTCTTCAAAATAAAATAGAAATCATCAACAAAAAATGAGAGAGTATGGTCTGGGTTGGACTATAGGACAAAATAAAAGAGCAAAAAGTCACTGGATGGTTAGAAAATTGCCAACCCCCCCCCCCCCCCCTCCCCAGTAAAAAAACGGCGCCACCGTCCATGGTATGTCACAATATATTATCCTTTACAAAGACCAATTGCATAATGAGACTAGACGCTCCTGGAGCGTGAAGTCGGACTAGCTATACTGTACAAAACTGTTTATTCACACGGTACGATATTCTTTTTGAATGCTCTCTGCAACAACTTCAAAACGATAGAAATCTAAATTTGACCTAAAAGGTCAGGTAATTAATACCCTGCAAAAAGAGTGTATTCTACCTTACAAATGAACTGATAAAATCAAACGTGGTAGACGACATGTCGCTAAGTGATATCATGATATCTAATACGTTTTTAATTCAAATTGTTGACCTCTCAAGCCAAGAAAATAAATACTTTAAAAGAATAAAAGACGCCTATAAAATAATCAAAGTCGCTTTTTTGTTATTGATAAACAAAGTTTCTTCTCTTCGTAATCATACTACTCGAAGCTCCATGCGATCAGCACATGCGCGTACTTCTGATGYCTAGACTGATGCATTCCGATGAGATCACAGATACCACATTTGTAAACCAATAGTTTTCTGGTGGTCCAAACGCGACAAAATACAGATAGATAGATTGATTGATTGGCTAAAAGGTAAAACTCAAGTCGACCTAGCCTTCKGCTAGTCCGACTAATAAAATGCTTCACGTGCTAATGTGTACTAAGTATTGAGCACTTTTTAACTGTGACAGCTACAAAGTCACTCGACTATAGCAGTTTTGCTTCTGTCTAGTAAAGCAGTCCAGCACTTTTTTGCTATATGCTGTTATTTATGATGGAACAAACAAGATTCAACTATTCAATGAAAAAATTCTTATTCTATGTTGAAATGTCAAGACTTTTTCCACCTGTAAAAAKAATTTTTCTTCTTAGTTATTTTATTTTATTTTGTCTTTTATTAAGCTGGCTCCACATCGGAATTTTTGAGCAAAACAGTGTTTTTAAAAAACAAAAGCATGTATGGACTTGTAGTGAAATTAAGCAGTCTTTTACTTACTCTAGCTGAAGACTCTAACTTYTGCTATTTCTAAATAAGGCACAATTAACTGAAACACTGCTTTATAGATCACAAACAGGCAAATTTGTTAATCCTGACATATTTGGACAGAAAAGAAAAATTGAAGGTAAAATTTATAAACAAGCTTCACATAATAAAGTTTTACTATAAGTTGATCGAGGAACATCATACAATTACTAATTATATGCAGCAGCTTAGAAATAATCATTTAGTAAACTATTGCCCAAAAGACTGAAGTGATGCAGTGAGGAGACCCTTTCTAGTACCCAGACCCAACTCTTGCGGCTAAAATAACCATTAGCACTACACTAGCAAAATTTTAAATTTTTCTTCTAACACAAATATCCTTTTTTGGTCAACTCTGTCATCATAAAATCATTGAGAATTATGGCAATTTTTGAGCTTTGATCTTGCTTAAAAAACAGGTGAAATAAGTCTGTGAGGTAAAATGTGTTGACGGCCATCGTTGATCCCAGCTGATCAGGGCTTCAGAGAGAAATATCATTCACTTGAGACCTATTTTTACCTTGATTCAAGTAATTTTTTGTACCAAAGTTTGATGTCGCAAAGAATGATGACACAGGTTTTCATTTTTTTTATAAAACCATGTACTTCATAACAAAACTTTATTAAATGAAGCTTATTCTTTCTCTTAWTTTTCTTTAGCAAATTTTATTTTCCAATTTAAACTGACTCATTTTACTTTTGGTTCATTTATGCAAGCTTGAAAAATGATAAAGAATTTAACCTTTKGTTTTTCTTATATGAACTATAGACGCCCGACAGGGCACATGGGCTGGMGACGTAATGTGTTATTTTAAAATAGCAACTTACAATCAATGTGAATACGTTGAGATCATTTTGAATTCATTATCCATTATCGATTTCATTATTGGATTCCAAACTTCAATATTGTCTTGAAGAATTGCTTCATTTCTTTGTAAATACTATCCTTCCTTTGCTTACTCGAATCAACTGAACTCCTCTACAATCCTCTCAAACTATCATATAGGTCAAAGCACGAGGGACCGGATTGGTTTACTTTGACATGACACTTGAACAAACTTGAACATAGTCGTCGTCAAGGGAGTAACTATTCCCCAGGCGTTCCTCGATGCCAATTTGAAGMAGACTACACACACCAAAATCTACACATTTTAACTGACATTCCACATATTTGACACTCCTTRCATACCAGATCTCGGATGTCTCCCAAAAAATTGTATTGGGAGAGGGAGGTGTTTTAGTGGGGTCTATTACTATAAATCTTTGTAAAACTRGTTTGTTTGTTGTTTTTTTTTCGTTTCTCCTTAATCCTTTTGTACTTTTTCTAGAAAAAACCTGGAGAAAAGACTATAAATGATAAAGACTGGACTGTAACAGCACCCAGTGTAGCTTGAAACATGCACTAACTAATAAAATATGTTCATTACACAACTTCCTTCGACAGTTTCTTTACGATAAAAATACACATTCATATATTGAAAACTATGCTTAGTTGATTTTCATTCATACGAAAATATACAACATGAAATGAGAGCTATATAAATTGACTTGTAAGCGAAAGATAATTAAGTGGTGATCAATCAAGGCCCAGTCACGGTGTCTGCATACCACCAATATCAAATAACTTCTATGGAAAATAGCGAGAGGAAAAAAATCTTCCATGAAATGTCTTTTTCATTAATTTTTTTTTCACTAATGATGAGCATTTACTAGTTTTTCTAGAACGTATTGCCATTTGTTTCAGTCCGATCATCAATAAATAGAAAACTTCGAAAGAAAACATTAAAATCCCCAAAAGAAATACTTCAGAGTAAAATTACCTGAAGTCTTAAGTTAAAGCCACAAAAGGATGCAATATCGTATAATAATATACCCTACGTACGTGAAGTGTGCCGTTATTAAAGTGACGTGCTTTTATTGTAACTATACTAAAACATTCCATTGCCTTCAAGATGTGGTTTCATTTGAGTATCAAGCTGTTTACAGTGTACTTGCTGCTATTAAGCACTAATAAAGAAGACAATGAAAAACACAAAATAATGACTCACCTGGAGTGAAGAATTGTATTACTCTAGTCTCCCTTTCCTTGTCATAAACTGCTTGCACTTCATTAGGGTCGTTAGCAATCCAGTTATGGTCTTCAGCTTCAGCATCCTCAAATATCCTCGTCTTTCCACGGGATTTTCCTTCCACCTGCATCATACTATAATGCGAAAGACCGTACTGAGCTATTTGTATTGGATAAAAATGTCCTTTTGGGTTCCACTGTGAGGATACAGGAACTTCTTCTTTCCCACTAATACACAAAACTCGTTGTCTTCCCTCCACATGGTATCCTTGAAACCAAAGGAACGCTCCCTTAGGATCATATTTATGTTTGGTTTCATGTATTTCAGAGTACGAATGACGCCATTCTAAAATACGGTGCTTGTCGAACTTTTGCATACCACCGTAGATTTCAAAATAATTTTTAACGAAGGAAAATGGAACATAGGGCTCATTTTTATCAAGATCTATTCTGCCTTCGATTTTCTTTTCTCCTCCATTCACAATCACATCAATCGTCTCGTACGGTACGCTCTTTGGGCAGTTATCRCGGATTTTTTCTTCCCGTTCCTTGCGATCGGCATACTCTTGATCTTCCCTTTCCCTCAGTGCTGCCGAAACAAGATCAGCACAGTATATTTGTGGGTCTGGGTTCGACTGGTCGTCCTCCTTCGGTATAGTTGATAACGGACTTGCTTTCGGGCAATTACTCCACGAGACGTACCAAGTCGTCAGTGAGATCAAGACACACACTAAAAATAGTTTAGCAGTAATCCTACCACACAAGCAGTACGATAGACGCATAGCTCAAAAGCTCCGGCTTGACGTTATAATGCAGTTTTCCTCTATATCCAGTAAAAGGAGGAATGTCTTTCTACTTGAAACTTTGTTTTGGATAGAACACATCCGCCATATTGAAATGACCATTCGTACCAGTCTTCCCCGGCAGATAACAAATTCATTTCCGGTGGTGTCAAGCGAATGACCGCCGTTTTATTAGCCGGGCTAGCCGTTGTACGAGTTTTACCTCTTTGCCAATCTACATATCTATCTATCTATATTATGACTATTATCTACAGATGATAATGTAATTTTCTATTATCAAAATTTCTGTCAAAATGTTTCAGCTATAAAGAAAAACTGGCTGGCTGGCTGGCTGGGACATAAGAACAGATATATTTCTCCCAGGAACCCGTTGGCCCCTCTCGTATAATCCATTAGATATTCATATCCATAAATTTATATTCATATGCCTTATCACGAAACGTTAACTATACATTCAACGTTTCCAAATTTATAAAACGTTTTTGAACTAAGGGCAACCTTTTTCAAAACATACGGCTACGGCTCTATATTGTTTTTGATTTGTAACTTTTGCAACATTTAGATCAAGTGATTTAAATTTAGATAGTTAACAAAAAATTGTAAAGTTTGACAATACCTGCATTCAATCAGGTCATGTT